TTTTATCAGCGCCTGCTTAAGGGAAGAGGTAATCTACTTTTTATCAACATTCTAGGATTTAGTTAATCTTGTTCCTTGGGAAGCAAGAAACGTGGGTTATTATTTTGTTGATTTTTCCCATCGTCAGAAAGTGTCATCATTAAATTTATGACCCTTTCTTCATCCTATGCGCAAGATTATTATCGTTAGACGTGCGTGATAGGCGTGGGATGATTCAACATCTTACCTTCTCTCGAGTATCGCGCTCATGATATGACTCTTATCGGCAAGGATTGATTCTTGATCCGGCTTAGCACCTTGGTGTTAACGGCGCGGGTTGAAAATGATTATTTGTGTGACTTCTTTGCCACGATCCTCGAGAGGAGATCAAACGCGTGGTTATCGCGGGTTACATATTTTTCGGCTAAGAAAATTCTTCAAATTCGTGTTGTCGATTGATTTTGTTCTTATCTTACTTTATCGATCGAACGGTGTCATAGAACGAAGAAATCGTGGAGTCCACCGGACGTAACAACCATTTATAGGCTATTTGCATTTTGAAACGCAAATAGCATGGAATGACACATACATGCACGCACTTATAAAGTCACCGCTTTATAACATAAACTTTATAATATAAATAATAAAACTTTGTAATATAAACTTTATAATATAAAGTGACCGTCATTACCTACTGAACTGTGCCTGCCCCTACAAAGTTTGTCGCGCAATCCGTCGTACTGCCTATAGTACATATGTATCATCCTGTACATACATACGTATAACGTTTATTTGCAAGTATATTATTTATAATAAAATTCATAAGAATCATCGTGTCATATACAGGGTGTCTCACAGCTACCGTATTTTCTCTTAAGGACATAGGTATTCTTGAGATAATTTTGAGACGAAAATTCTAATACGAAAATGTCGAGACTGCAATATTTTTTTTAATTACACACTATCTTTAACCAATTATAATTCAAAAACTGTTGTAGCCTCGATATTTCTGTATTAAGATTTTCGTCTCAATTACTTCTTAAGAAAAGAATACATTCTTAAGAGGAAATGCGATAGTTGTGAGACACTCTGTTTAAATAATAATCGTTATGATACAGCTGTAAGATCATGTAATTATACAAAAACAAAATAAAACATTTAACTGATGTGAATCAATCTAAGGTTCGGTTCCGCGGTGGAGCGTAATTAAAAGTCGTTCCACCTCTCACTGAGCGCTACATAACTTTACGGCCCAAACACGGCATTAGAGAAATAATAAACAGTAAAAAATAAGTAAGGAATATGATATTAAAGATTATCGATAATAGACAAGTTATTTTACATTACGAATTATAACAAATAAATATATTAATCAGAGATTAATCCCTTTTTTTTACTCAGTGAACGCTCAGTGAGCGGTCGTCGGTTCTATAAAATGCACCCTAATGTAAGATTAACTTTATTAAATTTTCATTTAACTTACTGTCTTTTTCTAACTTACAAAGGAAGTTTCACAACTGTCCGGAACCGAGTTGATTCTTCATGAAATATGTTATTAAACATGAAAATCTAAGAGACACGTATTTTTTTATATGCGCCTTAACTCATATTTAAGGGATGAAATACTCCTTTGGAAAAAAACGGTATTTTTCTTTTGAGGCAAATATCGTCGGAAATATAAAAGATGGAAAAAATTTTTTAAACAAAAAAAGTTGTACGGTTTCAAGAATATTTCAATGTTGTGAAGAAAAAAAATTTAAAAAAATTTTTTTGTTAATAATTGTTAACAAAAGTTGAAAAAATTTTTTTTCTTTACACATTGAAATACTCTTGAAACCTTAAACATGAATTAGGGTACGCATTAAAAATACATGTCTCTTGGATTTTCGTATTTAATAACATATTTCATGGAGAATCAAATCGGTTCCGAACAGTTGTGAAACTTCCCTTGTTAGAATTAAAAAAAGATAAAGAGTAAATTGAACCGAGATGAAAGTTAATTTTACATTAGTGGAACTAGGTCTAAGGGTATTTAACATTAATTGTGTTCCAAAATTCACTAACAATACTGAAAATCTACAGAGTGTACAAAAGATTCCGGACTCCTTAAACATCTTGAAAAGTAAGCTTTCTGAGAAAAATGTTTCATACAAAAGTTGTAAGGTTTAAAATGATGAATCTATTTATTGATCTTATCAGTTTGACATTGAATGGTGCCACCAAAGTCAAGTCAAAATCAAATCGATTTTTTTTTTAATAAAACACCCTATTTTTTATTTTAGTATCTAATAACTAGTATCAAGAGTTTTTCAAAACACTATAATAAAGCCTCTTTTTAATCAGTACCTTTCGAGTTATGAGACTTGAAAGACTTATCATTAGCATTAGCATTACCTAATAAGGTGTATCGCATTAGAGGTTGCCCAGTCGGATTTATAAGTCGTATGTATGTGTGCGCGCATGTGTGTATGTTTATCTCCTCTTCCCTTCTTCTCTTTTCGTCCTTCACACAGTTATCTTTGATTGTAAAGTATTTATTTAAAATATTAATACTAAACAAAGGTCAATGATCGAGCAAAAAATTTTTTAATAGGTTAAATTATTATTAGCATATCAACATAAATTATAAATTAAAACCGACGCTTTAGGACCACTGATCCTTCTTCAGCTAACGTAATTTAAATATAATCATACATCACATAATCACATATAATCACATACTTTTTTAATAACACAAATTTATAAACTAATATAAATTAATAAATTGTTCGTTGTATCGATAAAACGCTGACATCATATTATATTATAAATTGGTAAGTCATCCAATGGACATAAGTACATTCAAGTAAAAAAGTCAACGGCAGTGAGGTTTTTTACATACAGAAGTTGAATAAAAACTGATGTCTCTGCTTCTCGTTATAACAAAAGAGTGTCACATCTATATCAAACTGTTATACAAATAGGTCATCAAATCTATCGTTGTTCAACGAAAGTCAATGACCATAAATTAAAAATTAATTTGAGTATATGTATTAATTTATTTTATTAATAGAAAAACAATTTTATGTCAAAAATATAAAGAAAAATTATATAGGTTATAAAGTTATAAAACTTACATTTTAAAGCAGAGTAGGGTTACCAACCGTACTCTTTTAAGAGTACATGTACTCTTTTCAAAGTCGGACAACAGCGTACTCTTACTTTTTATTTATTGTACTCTATTTTGAGAAATGAGACGAAATTTAAAAAATTATTATTTAATATTTACATTTATTACTTTACAAAAAAGTTTTGCTTGGCTTGTACTAAGGCTTTGGCCATTATGTAAAATATAAATATTTATTTACATATTATGGTATATGTATAGAGGTTTTGATAGAGATTTGGTTATATGTATATATTTGTTGAAGAAACTTATAAATAGCAAAATATGTTAAATACATGAATCAATTTTATTTTCTCAATTTTATTAACATTAACATTAAAAAATCTGGAAGTAAAATATAAAGAAACATATTTATTCGTAACTTTATGAAGACTGAATAGACGTTGTCAATAAAAATTCTAAAAATGTCATTTTATTGAATGCCAGCATTTAAAATAAAAAAGTTCGTCATCTTTTTTCCTTTTTTTTTAGAAAGTATACTCTTTTTGCATATCAATGTACTCTTTTCGTGCGACCAAGAGTTGGTAACCCTAAAGCAGGGTTATCATATCTAATGTGTTAACGCGCAATCGACGTTCAAATTCAAATGAGAATATCGCTCTGTAGGGCAGACAAAAGAGTTCTGTATATATTTATTTATTATTGTTATTCCGAATAGATTCTAATAAGATAAAATAAGATTCGTCAAGACTCTTTGTCAAGCTCTCTGTATTTCTTTGTGAATTAATCCGCTCCATTTGTTCTTTAATATGTAGCTTTTTCGAAATTCTCCTTTTATTGTAGTCAGTTTCAGTATCTAAGATCTTAGTACCTTCTCAATCAAATGAATAGTTATTGTATAATGACAGAGTGTCTAGACGGATTACACCTAATATTACTAATGTACTCATTGACTCTAGTTCTCTTTGTCTCTGTCTACTCTCTTTGTCTTTTCCACATATAAAACATTGCAATCACTCTGCAACTTATTTTATAAACCATATTCTAAATGGAAATTTTGTTCAATTTATTTTTATATACTTTAATAAAAGAAGTCAATTTGTTTGAGCATCTATATCCTCTTGTGATGATGGATTTTATTAATAAAGGACGATAGTATTTGTTACATTTGATAAAAATAGTAAAATAAAATTTTTTTTATTTTACCGAAAATCAATAATATAATCATTATAAGTATAAAAATAAATAAATATGTGAATGCTATATAATTTTAAAAAATATGTAACATAAAAATATTCTTTTTCGATATTTACTAAGTATTGAATGCCCGGCAATCAAAATTTGTTATGTAACTACTAAAATATGTTTTGCTTATAAAACGTTTTTGTGCTCGAGACTTGTATATGAGAAATCTGTTTTCACTTTTTAATAACCGCATAATTTGATTTCTCCACTTAAATCCCTCTATAAGTACGAAGAGCGATGATTGTGCTGAAGAGATATAAACCCGCGTTTACCAGGCCGCAAATCTAGATAACAATTAAAGTGGTATTTATATATAATAATGGTATTTACATAATATATAATAAGATCTATATAAGTAAATGCAATATGTGTATTTAAACAGCTCAAATCCAACAAATCACCTTTTACGATTTTTATATTCTTGCTAAGAAAAAATTTACTAGAAATTGACAAAAATGATTAAAATCCTTTAGATAAAAGATGATTTATTAGACTTATGACATTTTCTCAGATAACATTTATGTTGCATAAGGTATCTAAAAGACATCTTTTAGACGTCCTATATATAAAAGATGTCTAAAAGATATGCATGTTATCTGGGTTGTAACACAATTGTATACAAATTGATAGGAATTACATGTAACACCGTTACCGCTATCGTTATCGTTACTTTTTTATAATAACGTTTTATAATAATAATTTTTTATGATAGTAACAATAACGTCATGGTTGGAATTTTATGCGTTACGTAACGAATAAGAGAACGAGTAAGATAACGAATTACTTTTTTTCAATAAGAAACACATAATAATAAACGAATTACTTTCAAAAGTGACTGTCCCAACCCTGGCGTTACTGTCACAAAAAAATATAACGTCATTACCAAATCATTAGGTAGTTTTTGCAATAGCGTTTATCCAGATACAGTGAACGCTATAAGGTCAGGTTATTTTCTTCTTAACAACTAATTAAGAAAAAGATAGCATGACTTTAGCGTTCACCGTATCTGAATTCACGTTATTGCAAAAACTCCCTATTATTATAAAGAAGTGACGGTAACGATAATGACATTACACATAACGTGTTACTTCCCTGTAAATTGATTATCCAAATTAAATAATATTGTACATTATAGTTCTATATTTTATAACATTGTACATACAGAAGCACCTAATAACAGCTCATAACCATTGTAACGTTTATAATTATTGACGTGTACCAAGAGTGTCAATGAGGCCGCAAGTACCAATCCAAATGCAATGGAATGATAAAGAAGTTCCTAAAAGTATAAAAAATTATGTCAATCAACATATCGTTTGAATTATTATAGAATCTTTTTTTAAGTCTCACACGTTTTTAATATTATTTAAATAAATTTTAACATTTAAGAATATTTTTCTTACATCTTATACAAAAAGTACGCATATTTACTTACAAATAAAATAAAAGGCAAATGAAATACAGATAGCCGATTATGTAAATTATATTAAAAAATTTAAATTGTATATAATTTAAATCATATGAAATATAATTACAATTTTACATACACACACACACACACACATTTTTTTATTTTTGTACTTACATAGATAGTCTTAGATATAATAGATGCAGTAGAGAAAGATGTCAGACAACTGAGAAGAAGGATGAAAGTGCCAATCATAAAAGTAGTCGTTATAAGAAGAAAGAAAAGCTCTGCGGTATTCCGATAAACTAAATTGTTACTAAATTCGTGACCAGCAATTCCTATGCAAACTATGCCTAGTGCCTGTTTGTAAAAACATGCAAATATTTCAAATTAGACAGAGATATAATTTTCTTATGTAAAAATTAATTGGTAAAAATGTGTATTATACACATATATATATAATCGTATATATAAAATTATATATATATATGTGTATAAGATACTATGTAAAATTATATATAACACTGTGTAACACTTATACAATAATTATATATATAAATTCCTGATTATATATTTATATACCATAACAATTCATATATGTATATTCATACATGTATATGTATGTACATGACCTCTTATAGTTTAAATATAAATTTTTATAATCATCTAGAAGGCATCTGTCATAGCTTGTCATATGTAATAATATAATTATATACATATAAAAGGTAATACTTTATTTTATCAATGTATACATTTATAATATGTCATTTTTCAGAAAGTTTTAATTATAAAACAATTGTAACATATAAATTGGTCGAACTAATTTTTTTTACTATAAGGATATACCTCAGTAGCATATATTGATACTGTATAATGTCATATACGTTTCTTAAACGGTTGTAGAATATTAGATACATAAATTTTGCATTAATATCTATCATTATAACATTTATATTTTGGTTTAGTTTGATTATTTTATTCCATTAACACCTTAAAAATGATCGTAATAAAGATCGAAACGTTGTCTATAACTTAGTTTATTAATTTATTAATTTATATTTAATCCTCCCCCCCGCCAGCAATGTTGAATTCTAAAGGCACAGTCGATTTTTTATTGTGAATTCTGACAAATAAATTTAAATTTGTAAAAAATATAATCTAACTTCTCTCTATGATAGTAAAACGTCGTTGTTAAAGTTTTCACAAGTATGTAAGAATTTTTTCAGATTTTTATACAGTGTGAAACAACATAAAAATCTGCATTGAAATTCGAAGACTCTTGCAGACAAAAAGTGAAAATTTTCATTGCCGACAAAAGCTTAATATACAACATTTATTAGCACGAAAAATCTGATTGACTCATTTAATTTTGTTTTAAAGTACAATTTATATAGTAATTTATTAAAATTATTGTTCTATGTTTTCATTGAAAAATTATCGTTACTATCCATAATTAATTTTAATAAACCGTCTTGCATTGAAAAATAACAATAAATTCTTGAAATAATCAAGAAATATATTAATATAATAACTTCAGTGAAGAATTAAATATATGAAATAATAATGAGGCGCATACCAATTGTAATAACTTCAAAATACCACTCCAAGTTTTCAAGTAACCGGTATTAACGACGATCGTGGACGAGCTGCTCGTCACTGTTTGCGTTCTAATCGTCACTGAATGAGACATCTTATACTGATTTTAATGTCAGTTCTGAAATAATCAAAGTTCAAAAATAATTGTGTTCTCCATTTCCTATCGTTACTTATAAAGATTCCATTCAATATGCGTAAGTGGGAACGTTTACTTGCGTCAAGTAGGACAGGGTCAAGATTTCGAGATGTGACCTACATCGAGCGAGAATCCCCACGATTTTTTCATGAAAACAAAATATGCACTTTTATTATTCCTCGAAATTCGAAATTTGTATGTTTTTTTGCAAGTTATATGTAAATACATACATATGTACATATATATATATATGTATATCTCTAGCTATATATCTATATTATATATAGATATATGTATGTATGTAAACATAATATATTTACATATATATATTGGGAGTAATTATAAGATTTGATTCGTAAAAAATTAATAGATATTTTTCAAAAACATTTAATTTCGACGAATGAAATTAACTCAATGTTTAATTGCATGCTTCAATGGATGAAACGTACATAAATGAAAACATTTCCATTACAAGATATTCTTTGATGGTCCGAATCATCCAGACACACCCTTTAAGTTTGCCCAATCGATAGTGCGTGGACCGACCTTCGGATTTACTTTCTCTCATTGAAGAGACGCCATAAATACAATAATAGGGAAAATATTTTAATTCTACTAGTTATTACAATTTTTATTAAATTTCACTTTATCCAGCTGAATTATATATTGATGAAATTAGCTGTAATCTTCTTAATATAATAATTATATTAAATTTAATATGCATGTGATAATTATGATAACGCCACATACATCTTTAAATGATGAATAAATTGAATTTAATATATAGTTATACAAGATTGGAATTTTCCTTTTAGTGTAAAAAGTATTTTTGTTGATGTCACACTTCTCTGATAAAGAAAATAAAAAGCTGAATAGTTAACCAATAAGAACTATATCAAAATAAATAGATTTTTTTTATATCTTGTTTCTACTAATTGCGGTAACTTATTATTATTCAAACATTTATAAGTGAATTGCAAAAAATATAAATTGTAAAATATAAGATAAACATAAAATAAAGTATAAAATATAAATATAAATTAAATATAAAACAATTTTTTATGCAAAATGACGATCCATTATTCTATACATCGTAAATGAATATAGGATGTGTATAATAATTATTTAAAAATGCTGAATAGAAAGAATTGTGGCTTGCATTATATAGAATATTTTTATGTTTACAATATCATAAATAAACATTAAAATAAGTATAACTTGTAATCAAAAACATCTTTTCGTACCTTTTAAGAAGCATGCACTTCTCGAATTTCAAAATAACTTCATATACGAAATACTTAAATGTAATAACATTTATAAGAAGAAAAAGAATGCTACAAGTTTATACTAAAGGCGGGACAAAAACAAAGTTTATACTACGATATTAACAATGAGAAATATTAAAGTCAGTCATGTGAAAATTTGGCATCACGCGTGGAAATTGAACCCCGCGTTACGAACAAGCAAACGTCCGCTTACGCAGTCATGGGTTATTTTTAAATATTCAGAATACATACGTAAAGCGTGAGTTAAAAATTTATCGGAGCCGCCGATTAGAATTGAATCTGTCATTATATCCGATAAATTCTCTTAATGTTTCCTAGAAAAGATTTCGTAAAACATCGCCACTGATTATATTTTATCTATAATACTATATATACTCTTTGTTCATATTTTCCAAATTATTAATTAATGCTTCAAATTACTGAACTGTTATATTGCGTAAAGTTTAAACCAAATTATCTCTCTTACTAATTTTACTAAGAATCGAGAAAAATCTTGAATTAAGTACATGAGATAACATAGCAATTTAACGTACAAATCCTACATTAATTATAATATCAGCAAATACACAATTGCATAAAGTTCGAATCCTTTATATTCTATAATCAAGAAATATGCAATTGGATTCAATAAATGAGAATAAAAAATGTCTTTCGAACTTTCTTGACAGTGTAAAAAAAATTTCGTTGCTACGTTAATATTATAAATATATTTGCAGAAGTTTAGATAATTGTAATTATTATGGAATTATTGTAATTTTCAAATATTACTCGTTTACTTTTTACTTGTAAAATTATTCAATTTATTACAACCGAATAGATAATTATTCAACATGGGATTGAGTGAAAAATTACTTGATGTACGACCGAATAATGAATAATTAATTAAAACGCATGTTTAATCAAGAATAAAAATTGCACATGCCATATGAAGCTCCACTAACCTGAAAACACGTTGTTACACACCAGCCGTCAGCAACTGACTGGTGCGTTGCGTTTTGAACGGGAAACCAAGGATGACGTCATTGGTGATATCATACATCCACACATTTTTAAATAATACGTGTGTACTATACTCGATGTAAATACATCGCGATTCTTAATGAGGCAAGATAAATAAACATATCAAAGATAGTCTTTTTGACAGAAATAATTTAATAAACGAAGAATATGAAATAACGAATGCGTGATAAAGCGTTTAGTATTGTTCACAATTGCATGCCAATGTGATACATTAATTTGCATCTTGATACATATTTTTATATAACTCTCTTTGCATTCATATCCAATGTAATGTAAAAATGGAAACTGTCTACATGAAAACTGTTTATATATAAATACAAAAATTAATTCATAAGCCTGTTCTTTTTAGCTCAACTTCTTGCACGGTTCATCTTTTTTTTCTCTCCAACATGGAGAGAAAAGGAAGAAAGATGAACTGTGCAAGAACTTTAGCTAAAAAGAATAGACCTCTAGAATGCTATTGATACTTTATGTACATATATATATATATATATACAGGGTGTCCCATAACTCACCTGACAACCCCAGACAGCACAGTAACGTTTTAAAAATGTATTTAAAACGTACATGTTGGACGTTTTGGATATGTTAAAAACGTCCAGATTAGATCCATGGATATTTTAAAAACGTTTCAAAAACATCCAGTGTTACCATTTTGGATTTCTTAAAAACGTCCATTTTAGGACGCAATGGACTAAAACTGGACCAAATTAATACATTAAACAAATTTTAGACCACAATTCAAACAAAATGATTCTTATAAGAATATATAGATAGCCAATGAGAGCTCTGCTTTACATCGTCGTGTAAGAAAAAGCAGAGCTTTCATTGGATATCGCCCATCGCATCTAGTGTGAACTAAGCGCATTAGAGACCCTCAAATATCTCTTACGTTGTATCTCTTTTAGTATCTCTTAATCTCTCTTAGGGCCGATTGTTCCATCTTTTGGTAAAGTTTACCTGTTAGATAAGTAGCAAAATTATCCCCATCACGCGGATTGCCAGATTTACTTATAACAGGTAAACTTTACCGAAAGAACAATCGGCCCTTAGTATCCCTTCGCGTATCTCTTACTTGAGGATCTCTACTAGCCATCATGATTCTGAACGCAGCCCTGGCTGACTGCACGTTGGAAGCAAAAGATTCCAAATTCTTATCACTGCAAGTAGCAAGCTATTGCTGCTCGACTTGCCGCTTGCTGCGTACTGTCTGAACTAAGCTTTAATTTGGTAAATTTTCGTTACCGGAGGTAACAAAAGTAAAACTCCTTGTGCGATTTAAAAAAAATTTTAACGTCAAGTCAGCGAAAGCAACGCGAGTAGCTTAGAAAATTTTTTACATGAAATGGACATTTTTTAAATGTCCAAATGTAAACATATTTTGTACGTTGAATAACGTACATTTTTAAAACATTCGTACTACGTCTATGGACGTTTGGATCAGATTAAAACCAAGTCTGGATGTCGTGTGCTGTCTGGGACGTTCGTGGGCAGGTAGAGCGGACTAAATTGAGTCGAAAAGTCCTCTACTATTTTGTAATTTTCACAATAGTTAACAAGATATTAATTACTAAAAATTGCCGAATATTGG